GGGACTAACAGACTTCCTTAAGCCCTTTATAAGGACATTACTCCCATTTATGAGAGCAGAGCCCTCGTGAGCTAATAATTTCTTAAAGGTCCCACCTCTTAATACTATTGCAGTGAGGATTAAGTTTCAACATGAATTTGGGAGAGACACAGACATTCAAACCACAGAACTTTACTTTGGCAGATTTTACAAAAACACATGCACATTGAACATATTGCTTGGCCCTTCCCATGTAAGTGAAGGGCCCTGAAAGCCAAGCTTAAATAGCTCCAGTGTAAACCCAACTCTAGGCTACCCATTCTGAGTTGGGAAAGTGAATAACTTTTATTAAGTACCTTATCTCACCTTGTATTTTACATTTACTGACTCATTTTATTCTAAACATTATCTTATGAGGAAAGTAACAGCTCCATTTTATAAATTAAAATGCCTAGCACATTTCTGAGAGGATAACAAAAATTGTCCAAAAAACTCTTGAAATGATTATTTGTAGTAAGGGAGCTAGTGGGCAGGGCTGGGATAAATACATGCTTTTAATTGCACACACATTCATATTGCTTGAGAATTTCTTTTCTTTTTTCCCCATGGCCATTGATTTCCTTTTTTTTTTTTTTTCTTGAGAAAGGGTGTCACTCTGTTACCCAGGCTGGAGTGCAGTGGCTCAATCTCAGCTCATTGCAACCTCTGCCTCCCAGGTTCAAGTGATTCTCCTGCCTCAGCCTCCCGCATACCTGGGACTACAGGCATGCACCACCATGCCCAGCTAATTTTTGTACTTTCAGTAGAGACGGGGTTTAGTAATGTTGGCCAGACTGGTCTCAAGCTCCTGACCTCAAGTGATCTGCCCTCCTTGGCCTCCCAATGTGCTGGGATTATAGGCGTGAGCCACGGTGACCAGCCTGCCATTAATTACTTTTAAAATTTTTATTTTACTGTAGTAAGAACATTTAACATGAGATCTACCCTCTCAACAAATGTTGAAGTATACATTATTGCAAACTATAGGTACAACATTGTACAACAGATCTCTAGGGCTTACTCATCCTGTTTAACTGAAACTGCATGCCCATTAATTAACAACTCCCCACTTTCTGCTCCCCCAGCCCCTGGTCACCACCATTCCACTCCTTGCGTCTATGAATTTGAGTATTTTAGATACCTCACCTAAGTGAAATTATGCATTATTTGTCTGGGACTGGCTTATTTTACTTAACTTCTTCAAGGTTGTTGCATATTACAGAATTTCCTTCATTTTAAAACTGAATAGTATTCCATTGTATGTACATAGCACATTTTCTTTATCCGTTCATCTGTTGATGGACATTTAGGCTGTTTCTACATCTTAGCTATTGTAAATACTGCTGTAATAAATATGAGAACGCTGCTATCTCTTCGGGATCCTGATTTCAGTTCTTTTGGATAAATATCCAGAAATGAGGGGTGGCTGGATCATCTGGTAGTTGTATTGGTTAATTTTTTCAGAACCTCCATACTGTCTTCGGTAGCAACTGCAGCATTCTGCATTTCTACCAACAGCGTGCAAGGGCTCTGGGATTTCCCCATCTTTCCAGTACTCGCCCTCTGTTGTTGCTATTGTTTTATGATAGCCATTTTGACAGGTGTGTGGTAATACCTCATTGAGGTTTTGACTTTTAGATTAAAACACAATTTATCATGTATTTTAAAGGAAAAAAGAATTCACACTAACAGAGAAATTACTGATAATAGGTTCATGCATCATCATACTGTTATGGGTTGAACTGTGTCCCCTCAAAATATATTTGGAAACCCTAACCACTCCCAAAGTACTTCAAGGTGTGGCCTTCTTTGGAAATAGGGTCTTTGCAGATTTAACCAAGTTAAGATGAGGTCACTAGGGTGGGCTCTATCCAGTCTGACTGGTGTCCTTCTGAAAAGAGGAAAGTTGGAGAGAGACAAGCACAGATGGAAGGCAATGTGAGGACACCGGGAGAAAACAGCCCTGTGACTGGAGTGACGCAGCTAGGAGCCAAGGAACACCTGGGGCCACCAGAAGCTGGGAGCAAGGCCCGGAAAAAGCCTTCGGAGTGAGCACGGCCCTTGCCAACACCTGGATTTCAGGCTCCTAGCCTCCAAACTATAAGAAAGAAAGTTTCTGTTGCTCTATGGCACCCAGTTTGTGAAAATTTAGTGCTGCAGCCCTAGAAAATGAATATGTTTCTCTCATGATAGTTATGATGAGCATTTTTTTATGTTTGTTGGCTGCTTGTATGCCTTCTTTTGAGAAGTGCCTGTTCATGTCCTCTGCCCACATTTTAATGGAGTTACTTGTGAAATACCATCTCATACCCATCAGAATGGCTTTTGTTAAAAAGCAAAAAAAAAAAAACAGAAAAAAAGAAAAAACGGATGCTGGCAAGGCTGCAGGGAAAAGGGAATGCTTATTAGAATGGGAATGTAAATTAGGCCAGCCACTGTGGAAAGTCGTCTGGAGATTTCTCAAAGAACTAAGAAGTGAGCTACCATTCAACCCAGCAATCCCGTTACTGAGTATATACCCAAAGGAAAATACATCAATCAACCAAAAAGACACATGCGCTGGTATGTTCACTGCAGCACGGATTCACAATAGCAAAGACAATGAATCAACCCAGGTGCCCATCAGTGGTAAACTGGATAAAGAAAATATGGTACATACACTCCATGGAATATTACATAGCCATTAAAAAGAAAGAAAACATGTCCTTTGCAGCAACATGGATACAGCTGGAGGCCATTATCCTAAGCAAACTAACAGAGAAACAGAAAACCAAATATTGCATGTTCTCACTTATAAGTAAGAGTTAAACATTGGGTACGCATGAACGTAAAGATGGGAACAACAGACACAGAGGAGTACTCGGGGGGAGACAGAAGGAGAGTACAAGCACTGAAAAACTATTTATTGGCTAATATGCTCAGTACCCAGGTGAAGGATTCATTCACACTCCAAGCCTCAGCATCACACAATATACCTCTGTAATAAACCTGCACCTACCCCCTAATTCTAAAATAAAGTTGGAAAAAAAAGAAAAGTAATACAATTATCTTCCCTTGAGATACTTAGTCTTTTTGTGTGTGTTTGTTTGTTTGTTTGAGACGGAGTCGGAGTCGCGCTCTGTCGCTCAGGCTGGAGTGCAGTGGTGCGATCTCGGCTCACTGCCAACTCTTCCTCCCGGGTTCATGCCATACTCCTGCCTCAGCCTCCTGAGTAGCTGGGACTACCACACCCGGCTAATGTTTTGTAATTTTAGTAGAGACAGGGTTTCAACATGTTAGCCAGGATGGTCTCGATCTCCTGACCTCGTGATCCGCCCACCTCAGCCTCCCAAAGTGCTGGGATTACAGGCATAAGCCACTGTGCTCGGCCTAGTTTCTTTTTTTTTTTTTTTTTTTTAAGGATACTTTATAACTGAAAGGGATGACTTTAGTTTGGTAAAATTTGAAGCAAAAGAGAAGCTGAGGCACCAATCACACCCTATACAGACAGCTAAGCACATTGCGTAAAGCAGATGCTGCCCACCACCCAGCCCATTAGACAGTTCATGCACCATCAAAGCCAGAATCAAGCAACAAGCCCAATGGCGATCCAACTCTCTGCTGGTGTGAATTTTTTTTTTTTTTTTAAGACAGAGTCTTGCTCTGTCACCAGGTTGGAGTGCAATGGCACAATCTAGGCTCACTGCAAGCTCCGCCTCCCGGGTTCAAGAGATTCTCCTGCCTCAGCCTCCCGAGTAGCTGGGATTACAGGCGCCCGCCACCACGCCCAGCTAATTTTTGTATTTTTAGTAGATATGGGGTTTCACCATGTTGTCAGGATGGTCTCAATCTCCTGATCTCGTGATCCGCCCACCTCAGCCTCCCAAAGTGTTGGGATTACAGGCATGAGCCACCATGCCAGGCCAGGAATTTTAATATCTTTGGCTATTTGTACAATACTGAAAAAAATCATTTAGAAAAAACAATTCAGATGCATATTTCTAGTGAAGTGCACATGTGTATCTTTTCATGGGTGCACATCTGAAGAGATCATTATGTTTGGGGAGTTTTTTGGCTATCTGATGTTTTTATGTTTTTTGTAAGGTTAAAAATTAAACCCATAAATGTACTTTTAAAGATGACAATATCAAAAAGTTGGAAAAATGTTGAGGCTGGGTTTACATAATTCTAAAACCAGATCAACTTGACTAAATTTAGTAACTTCAATGAGAAAAAAAAAATGAAGTTTATTTATTTGGTTTGTCTGGCAAAACAATATGTGCTTAAATAGTATTTTGTAAACAATGTTTTATCACCAAGATATTACCATTATAAATATAGACCCATATTATCAAAATACACAGATACATACACACACAGTAGCTGAAAAAATCTACAAGTATTTTTGTTTAGCAGACCAGAGTTCCCACTAATGCCAGAAATTTGCAATGTCTAATAGAAGAATTTGAGTTTACTTTTTAAAAACGATTTTTCTTACTTTGATTAATTTTAGGATCTACTTCTTGATATAATCTTTCAACTGTACTTATTTTTTATTAATAAATATATATTTATATTTGTTCAGAAAAGCCACTTTTGCAGAAATCAAAGAACAACTGTAAGTTGTGCTTATAAGAACAAAATCATTTTAAAGAAAATACAACTATGATAGTAATTGAAAACTGAACAATAGATGCCTTTTTTGATAAACCAAAGAATGTACAACTTAAAGTTCCAGTTGATACAGCACCTGGAACTTTCGAAGCAAAAAGGTTTTGTTTTTAATGACTAGCATTTTTATAGCATTTCTGACTGTCACCTAATAATAGAAATACATCATTCTTGTCATTTTTCATTTTGTCTTAATAGCAGTAAATTAATCTAACTGATCTATTTCTATAAATTATATTCTTGCTATTAATTATAAATCTGAAGAAGAAAATATCAGAGCTACATATAAAATTCTTAAAAACGTTTCCACTTGATAATAAATATTCCCTTACCAAAAAAGTTTGGGCCTGGGAGAATTTCATTTCTTGTTTTTTGATTGTGAAGAATATGCATGTGCATTTTTCATCCTGTATTGATTTGAATAATAGAGATTCACTCATAATGTGAGCAGTACTTTGACTTCTTTGGTAGGTGAGACCTAATGGCAAATTAAAAGCCACTTAAGAGATTACCATTAGCCCTGGTCAGAAAGAAGACAAATTAGTGGTTCCTCCCTCTCACCTCTCTCTCATACTCCATTCATGACTTCCGAGGCAGACAGTAGTTCCAAAGATGGCCACCAAAACATCCCATCCAACATGCTCGTCCTTCAGGGTGAGCTTGACATTCTTCCCATAGAGAAGTGGGGTCTCCACTTCTCAATGGGGAGTGGAGGAGAGACTGTCACTGCTTTGACAAATAGATTACAGCAGAAGTGACTTCCAAGGCTGGAAAGTGATGCAACCAAGCCTTGCTCTCCAGAATACTCTCTCTTTGAAGCGTTCAGCCACCATGAAAGCAGCCCGCTGGCCTGAGGCCACCCTGCTGGGAGCAGGCCCAAAGTGACCCATGTGAAGACACCATGTGGAGCTGTCTGAGATTACACAAAGAGAGAGAGGTGCTGGATCAGCCCCAGCTATTCCAGCCTCCCAAGCCCCGCAGGAGAGACCCCCACGCCAGAACCACCCAACTCATCCCTTCCCCAGTTTCCTGACCTACAGAAATCGGAAGAGAGAATACAATGATCATTGCTATTTCAAGTCACTAACTTTAGGAGTAATCTGCTGTGCAGCAATGACATCGAGAACAAGCTCCAACTTTCTGGAACTTCCTCTTTCACTTGAAAAGAAATGCTTCGAATACAGCTGCTTCGTGTCTGTTTAACTATCTTTTATTGTGAAACAGGGCCACCAAATCTAGGTCAAGAGTCCTCCTGGCCCAGCTGTTCCTTATCTGAAAGAGAAAAAGGGAAGAGAACCCTGGGAAATGTCAGGCCACGTGGAGAGCAAAGGGAGAGCTCAGTGACAGCCACCTTTCTCTGATGAGCTGCGGGCTAGCTAATTAAAGGCTTTTGCTGCCTAAACCAGAAAGGGGAAAGAAGGTAAAAGGCATGAGTACCAAACAACAGAATTGTTTTGAAATCCAAGCAACGTGGAGTCAGAAAGGCCTAGGAGTTAAAGAACAAGGAGTCCTTTTCTATTCCCTTTTTCCTATTAATAATGCATCTTGCGTTGCAAAAGTTATCAATACCCAATGTCAGCAGCACACTGTGGTGCGAAGGTCTGGGTTTCATCACTGCACTCACAAGCTGTTTGACTTTAGACAAGCCACTTAACTTCTTTGAGCCTCTGCATTTTCATCATTGAAATGAAACAACCACACTTACTCAGTGAGGAAACTGCACAGGTATGTGGCATGCCTAGCACACGGCAGGCCTTCAGAAATGATGACGACCTTTCCATCTTTCTTTTCCAGTGTTGGTTCTGCTGCTTGTTAGCTGTGTGACTTTAGGAAACTGACTTAATCTCTCTGAACTTTGGTTTAAACTGTGAAATGATGGGTTGATCTAAATAGCCTCTCAATCTCCTTTATTACTTTCTTCCTTAGATTTCTGCAATCACCTCCTAACTTGTCTCTCCCTCTCTCGTCCCATCCTGTCCCAAACCATCCTGCACAGGCTTCCAGGGTCACCGTGGTACTCAGTAATGCAGCTGAGATTTCAAGGGTAAGTCCCAAAACTCAGCACGCAAGCCTCTTCATGGAGGGACTTGAAAATCCCTCTGCAGCCTCAGCCTCAACATCCTTCTATGACTCTCCCCCGCTCCAGCTGCACCAAACCACTCAGTAGCCCACCAGTGGCAAGCCCTCTATTCCTTTGCCAGCCCCTTCCCCTTCGCCACGTTGTTACCTTCCATTTCATCATCTAGTCTCAACTCAAGCATCACCTTCCAGAAAGCCCTCTTCTGACTCTCCTAGGCAGGAGTCTGTTCTCCAGCTTTGTGACAAAAACAGTCCAGTGAATGCTTCCAACTGGAACTTAACATAATCATTGAAATGGCCTCTCTGTTTCTTCCAGCTCAGTTCTAACCTCCCTGAGGGCAGGGATCTGTCCATCTTTCATCTCATTATCCTCAACATTACAGGAGCACAATAGTAAAGGTTTGTTGGACACAGCATGCTGGGTAAACAACATACTTCAACGCTGTTGTGCCTGTGTCCACAAATTCACACCACTTCAGCTCCTTGAGGGGTTAACAGACTTTGGACATCCTAACTTGCGTCAGCTGATGAGGAAAATCTTCAAAATGCAGCACCTGTGTTCCTTTTAAGTCATCCTTGCACAATCGATAAGTTTTGGTAAAAGACTTTTTGGAAGACCAAAAATACGGTGTTTTATTTTTCTTCCTTATATGCTGGAGTTTGCATTTTAAATTCACATCCAGAATCAGCTTTGTGTGTTAAAGGACAAAACTCCATGAACAAAAGCACACAGGTAATTTTCTAGCATGGAAAAGGCTGAGCATGAGTCTGGAGGGGAAATGGAAAAACAGACAGGGCAGGAGGGGGCGTCCGACACCCAAGAGCTGGACAGGGCTGGCAGGACGAAGGAGGCAGCCAGAAGGCAAAACCAGCAGGGACAAGGGACTCAGCCTCGTGGGGATCACTCCCAGGGAAGCTTATTCCATTCCTCAAGTCCTGATTCCTGCAGCCCCCTGTTCCATACCCACTCCCCTTGTAGCCCCACACCTTTTGTCTTGCTTCTTTCCCTCCCCACACCTCTCCACACCCAACCCTGGAGCTGTGTTCCCATCACCCACTATTCAAAAAGACGAAGTGGGCAAGAGTCCGGGCCTTGGCTCTGAATGACTTGAGTTTCAGTTCATCCCTGACATATACTTGCTCCATGCCCTTGAGCCAACCTTGGGCTTTAACCTCTGAGCCTCAATTTTCCCACCTGTAAAATCCAGTTTACATACCAGCACGAGGCTATAATAGGTATTAACTGAGATGATCTGGACAAACTGCTTAGCACAGTAGGGTAGTCAGCCCAGGCCACCATAACAAAATCCCATAGATTTGGTGCTTAAACACCAGAAATTTGCTTTCTCACAGTTCTGGAGGCCCCAAGTCCAAGATCCAGGTTTGGTTTCTTCTGATGCCTCTCTCCGTGGCTTGCAGATGGCTACCTTCTCGCTGGGTCCTCACGTGGTCACCCCGCGGTCTCTGTGTGTCTGGGTTCTAATCTCTTCTTATAGGGACACCGATCATATTGGATTAGAGCCTACACATATGACCGCATTTGACCTTAACTACCTCTTTAACGGCCCTATCTCCAAATACGTTCCAAGGTACTGGGGATTTAGGAATTCAATGTACAAACTTGGAAAGGGCATAATTCCGCCCATAACACAGAGTAAGCACTTAAGCTGTGGTACTTACCAAAACCTGCCTTGTCAGTTACAATGCTGATGTCCTTTTACTAAACTCTAAGTGCTGCGGGCTCACAGGAGGGCTTGGTCTTTTTTATTCTCTCTTATTGATGATCACCCAGGCCCTATTTGGTCCTCGGCTCTGGCTACAGCATCATCTCCTCCTACCTTCTGCTGCTGTCTCCACAATGGGCTCCACTCCGAGCCTCCAATGGCCTTGGGTCTTCTCAGAGATCATTTCTTCTGGCTGGACGGATCTGTCCCTCCTCTGGCCTCTCCTGGTCTCTTTCTGGCTGTGGACCAGGCCTTCCATGGCCTCTCCATAGCCCCACAAGGCTGTCAGCTCCACCCAGGCGAGGACTCTTGTCTGTTTCTTCCCTGACATATCCTCAGCCCCAACACAGTTCCTGGTACTTAGTCGATCTTCCTTTGGGGAACACTGCCAGAGCCAGCAATGACGCCATTCTCCAAGCTAGGCTTTGCCTGGTTTCTGTGTAATGAACAATCAGATGGACATCTCCGGACACCACTGCACCACTGGCTCTTTCATTGTGTAGCCAACAGGCGAAACAGTGCTCAGAAATGATCCACAGAGCTTTCAGCCTTCCAAGAGTATGACTTTTTTTCTTTTCCAATGTCCAAGCAGTCCAGAAGTCACACCCACTCCCTGGGGTGGATGCAGAGCTGAGACCACATCCCCACAGCCAAGCCCTGCTGGCCCAATGTGGAAGCTCTTCAAAAAAGAAAGATGTTCTCATATTCTGACGCTTCGTGTTACCTCCTCAGAGGAGAAATGATGACCTATGGGAGTCTGATCATAATTCTATTATCCCATAATTCTATTACCCCATCTGGGATACGTACAATGGCAGGCTTTCTCTATTAAATAGATATTAAAATAGCATAAGCTTTGGATAGATTCCCCACAAGAATCTGACAATTATCACATGTGCACTCTCCTTTCTCAATACACTGACCCCATCTCCTGGAAGGCAGGCCACTGATCCTGCTGTAGGATACCCAAAAACAGTGGGCAGTAGTCACAATCTGTTCATCTCATTTGGTCCTCACGAAAAAGAGGGGAAGCATCATTAATTGTGTAATGAATGTTAGGAGAGCTCCAGGGTCCTAAAGGGGAATTTGAAAAAAAAGGTCTGTCAGAGAGCATGCAGTATATAGGCCAGGTGCGGTGGCTCATGCCTGTAATCCCAGAATTTTAGGAGGCTAAGGTGAGCAGTTCACCTGAGGTCAGAAGTTCGAGACCAGCCTGGCCAAAAGGGCAAAAACCCATCTCTACTAAAAATACAAAAGTTAGCCAGGTGTGGTGGCACATGCCTATAATCCCAAGTACTCGGGAGGCTGAGACAGGAAAATCACTTGAACCCAGGAGTCAGAGGTTGCAGTGAGCCGAGATCATGCCATTGTACTCCAGCCTGGGTGATAAAGTGAGAATCCGTCAAGAAAGAAGAGAAAGAAAGAAAGAAGAGAAAGAAGAGAAAGAAAGGAGGAAGGAAGGAAGGAAGGAAGGAAGGAAGGAAGGAAGGAAGGAAGGAAGGAAGGAAGGAAGGGAGGGAAAGGCATGCAGTATGTATTTTAGAAGGAGGAAGGAAGAAGGAAAAAGAGGATGAAAGGCATGCAGTATGTATTTTAGAAGGAAGGAAAGAAGGAAAAAGAGGATGAGGGAGGGAGAGGGAAAGAGGAAGAAATGAGAGAGAGAAAGAAGATGGGAGAAAGGAGGGAAAGAGGAATAAATGAGGGAGGGAGGAAGGGAGGGAGGGAGAGAGGGAAGAAGAGATGAATGAAGGAAGAAAGAAGGAGGGTGGCCAGGTGCAGTGGCTCAGGCCTGGTAATTCCAGCACTTTGGGAGGCCGAGGCAGGTGGGTCACTTGAGCCCAGGAGTTCGAGACCAGCCTGGGCAACATGGTGAAACCCCATCTCTACTAAAACTACAAAAAATTAGTAGGGCTTGGTGGCAGGCACCTGTAATCCCAGCTACTCAGGAGGCTGTGGTATGAGAATCACAGGAGAATGGAGAATTGCTTGAATCCTTGGAGGCAGAGGTTGCAGATTGCACTACTGAACTCCAGCCTGGGCAACAGAGCAAGACTGTGTCTCAAAAAAAAAAAAAAAAAAAAAAAAAACACAAAAACAAAAGAGGGACGGCGAAGGCGGAGAAGGAAGGAAAAATGGAGGAAGAAAAGAAGAAAGGAAAGGTCATATTCCCCAGAGCCTTTCCACAGTACTTTAAACATAGTAGGTACTTAATAAGTATTTACTGAATTCAACTGAACTGCCCAGGTGTCTGTAATACCATTTTCTCAATTCCAGCTTCACTTTCTAAGCATTTTCTCTAGAGAGAGAGAAATAGAAAAAGAAAGCATTCATTCCACCAGTTCTATGCCCTTCACCCCACTCATGGGGCCTGGCCCGTGGCCGGGCCTGCCCCTGCAAGGACAGGACAAACTGATCCATGCCCCGTCTCGAAGCTTGTTTCCTGGCAGGACTGTAACTCAACAGTCTGGGAAATACAAATATCGCTAGCAGGTAACTTACTCTTGAGTTGAAGCTGTTGGTTTTTATTCGTCAACAAAGTAATGGGTGAGCACTTGTTGACTCTTTTTTTTTTTTTTTTTGTCTGTTAAAAGGAAGGCCATAAGAAGTAAAGCCAAATGCAAACAGAACAGAGGTATAAATAAACAGCCGCTCTGGTGAGTGCCAGGAAAGAGCTTAGTGTGACTAAAGGAGAAAATGTAACAGGTAAACTTCCTCCTAGCATTTCTTATGCAGCAGGAACCAATTCCTCGAAATAGCCATACTCACTGTATCCTTTTCCCAATACTGAGACATGCCTCAGCCACACCATTACCAGGCACCTGGGGGAAACACAAGGGACCCTGCCTTCCTGTGAGAATGGAACGTTCTGTGAAAGTCACATTTCAGGGATGCAACAATTTCTACACCACCTATTTGCTTGAGGGTCTATTTACTTCTATCTTTTCTAAAATATAACCACAAAAATCCACATTTACAGAATGGATAATAAATTATTAGGGCTACCAAAATCCTTTCCAAATCAATATTGGACTAGGGGCACTAACGTGCCAATGACGAGGGTTAAGAAAATCAAGCAGTACAGGAAACAGAGGGCTGGGCCACAGGTTTGTTTCATGGTTGCTGGTCTTCACTTTGATCTGCACCTGCTCATTTACCACCTTCCACCATACTTCCAACTTAAGTAAAATGGGGATTGCTTACTTAGCTGGGGAGAGCAAGAGTTGTAAAACAGTGTTAACAAACGTGACCCGAGTGAATAGAAAACAGAAAATATTTACCAAAGGATGCTAAGTGTGTCTTAGAAGAAGAATGTTGTGCAAACATTTTTGAGGTCACTATTCTTTATAATTTTTTTCTAACTATAAATTATGTATGTATAAAATCTGTATATTCATTATAGAAATGTTAAAAATAAAGAAAATTAAAATCCTCTTTAATGCCACTAGCCAGAGACAATCAGTATCAATATTTTGGTGTATGTCCTTTTATTCTGCTTTCCATAGATATTTATATACCGCTTTTATTTTCATAAAATTGGAACCTATTGCTTCAATAATTTACTTTTTTCACTCATTAATTGTAAACATTTTCCCATGTTATTAAACATTTTCCAGTAACACTTGGAGGGAGGGGAGAGGTCTTTATAAATTTAATAGCTAAAAAGAGGTACATCAATTTAATTTCCTAGTTTACTATGGGAAGTTAAATAAGAGATATTTGATAATTTTCAAAGTTCTTTAAGTTCAACTTGAACAGACCAAGAGAAAATTAGAGGCAAAGAGCATAGCACTGAAACCTGAAAGCAAACATAATTAATAAAATATAAGAACCCAGATGAAAGTTAATAGCCATGCTTTATATCCTTCAAGGGGAAAACTTGGTAAATTTATGTAAGATTGCATTATATATGGATTTAAAATTAACACATATAAAAAAGTCATTGGTTTATTGGTATTAGAAATAACAATGTCATCTGTCATTTTAGGGTCACCATTTTCTTTGACAGAAAATGAGAACAGTCACTTGAAATACTAAAAAAAGCTAATGAGTATGTCTTCAATAAACACAAAATATAGTGAAAATTCCAAGTATTTATGACATAAATTATATGAAAATAAGAATATTAATATATGTCTACTATAAAAGGATGCACACAAGAATAAAAGCCAGTTTTGAGCAAGGTAAATATTTACAGAGAGGAGGAAAATGCTGAAGTATTATTTGCATAATCTAGATACATTGCTCTTAATTCAATAAGTATAAATGTATATCTTTAAAATCATGACAAAGTGCATATTTTATCTATTAGCATAATAGTTATATGACTATAGTGTACCTGATGAAAATATATATGAACGCAATCGTCCTTGAAGATAAACGCAAAAACAAGTACTGTACTTGGATTATTCTTCATTCCACAATATTCACTTGAAAAAAAAAGAGCCAGACTAATGAAATGAAAGCTGATTTAACTGTACAGCGTGAGTTTCCAGCTGCACCTGCTCCGATGCGCACCGAGGCAAATGTAGGAGACAGAAAGAACCCACCCAGCGGGGCTTTCTCTGCACACCATACACCTCCCTCTCTCCAGGGGAACTAAACATTCGCTTTTGTCCAAACACAAAGGCTAATGAGAGCTGGTAACAGCCAACAAACGACAGACACAAAAGCGACCTTTGTCACACCTAGATATCTCTGATGCTCGCTATGGGACAATAGGTGGCTCAGGTCCACGTCGCAGACAACCAATGGCCTTTTTAGCATCAAGAGGAAGAGGAGGAAGTCCCTGAACTTAGTGCGTTCTGCATTTTGGGGCGCCCTGGTGGGCGTGATTCACAACTACCACCTGGAGAAAAAAACGTGTAAAACTCCAGAAACAGCAGTCCCAGCCCTAAAAGGTCAAGAAAGTGCTTTCGGCCCCCAAACTCTGAAAACCCCGAACCAGAAGCCGAGCCCCTCCCTGGCCTCTGCCTCCAACCTCGGGAACCAGGGAGCCCCGAGCCGCTCGGCCGCGCATGCGCCGCGGCGGCACTGGCTGGGCGTGGAGGCCGCGTGGCCAGAGCGCGCACAGTACCAGCTTGTCCATGGAGTTGCGCTGCGGCGCTCCGCGGAGACTCGTAGCGTGCTGGCCGCGGTCCCCAGGTGCAGGGAGGACCCCGCCGCCGCCACCGCCGCAGCCGCCGCCCCCTGCCCTCGGCTGCTCCCCGGAGTCCGCTCAGTCAGCCGGGCTCGCCGGCTGTTTGCTGCTCCTGCCGTTGCCATGGCGACGGGCAATGCTGCGCTTGGGCCTGGCCCCGCCCCTCGCGCGGCGCGGCGGCGCTTCCCGGGCTCCGGCTCTCGAGCCATTTTCACCATCGCGAGCTCGGAGCCGGCTCCAGTTCAGGGGAAGCCCAGAGCTTCCGGCCTGCAGCGGGGCCCCAGATGCCGTTTCTTGACTTTCCATTAGGTTTCTCTTAGCTCTCTCCTGATTGTTTAGCATTTGTTTGAATGCGGAATTTTGAGTGTTTCTAGCTTTAGGAGGAAAAAATAATTCAAAATGAAATTTGGAAGATTTCGACATTAATTCGCACAGTCTTATTAGTCTTAGATTGTAAGTTTTAGATTCTTCTCATTGCTTCCGTGTGTGGTACCTTAAGAGCTGTTTCTCCAGCTAAGACCTCAACAGAAACGTTTAACTTTGAGTTTTAATCTATAGATGATAAAGGTGAGTTTCTAAATACTGTACACCCATCAGAATAATACTTCATTGGCATGTATGAATTCCAAGGAACTTTGCCTTAAAGCACCTTCCAAAGAAATTTGAATAGAAATATTTCATAATCTGCAAAATCTCTCTCATCTGGGCCAGCACTGTCCAATAGAAATATAATGCCCGACACATGTGAAAGTTTATGTTTTCAGGAGCTACATTTTAAAAAGTAAAAGAAGCAGGTGAAATTAATTTTAATAGTACATTTCGGTTTCTTCATTAATGAATGAAGTCATTACTATGTTTCAGCCAAAATATTATTTCATTATGCTACCAATATAAAAATTACCGATTAGACATTTTACATTCTTTTATCGTACTAGCCCTCGAAATCTGATGTGTATTTTACACGTACAGCACATCTCAGTTTGAACTAGCCACATTTCAAGTGCTCAATGGCCAGTATGACTGGTGGCTACTGTACTGGTCAGAGCAGATCCACTACGCC